CCAGCCTGCAGAAAGTAGTATTAACACTTTGTAGTCAATTGTGCACCTTTGACATTACATTGCAACATTTTTGTGGGTTTTCTTGTGTGTCTTCCACATTTCAAACCCCTCAGTTTTATTGTTCAGTCCCTACAACGACCACCACCACTCCTGTTGTGTTTGTTATCGCATTATCTTTTTGAAATATAATGAGATTTGATGTGATTCACAATTTAAAGTTTAATCAGTGACTGCAAGCTACCTGCTTTCTCAGGAAACAAAGCAGCCACAAACCGTAACATTTCCACTTCGGTATCACAGTTGGTATTGGGTTTCTTTTTAAAAGCTGTCTTTGGTCTGCACCAAACACATCTGCCGTCACTAATGCCAAACCTGATTACTCAGTTCAGGCGACATTATGCCAGCAGGCCTGGAATTTGCCAGTATGTTGATTGGGAAACTACAGTGGACATCAAAGCCTTTTTTTTTTTTTTTTCCTCCGGCCTGGAAACTTCTATTTCTGTTTATAGACAAATACTTTGACACCAACCACTGCAAGAGTTATCTGCTGATTCTATGCTTGAAATGAAGTTTATCTTGGAGATTGCTTTTGGCATTAAATGATTTGTCGTTATCGTTAAGTTGCATTTTTTTCAGGACGGCTGCTTTTTGGACAAACTGGCCTTTTCTGAAAGTAGAGTGATTTATGTTCTGTTAATTTGCCAGACATCCTGGAGCACTTTAGTTGTTAGCGCAATGCCATTTCGTTGTTTATTTGCTATTATTTTTCATAGGCAATCACAGCTTAATGTTATGCATGCCCTTCTTTTCCATCATGTATAAAAATATAAAATATGACTGAGGTTTTTGGGTTGCTTTAAGTGTTTATTTTGACTTTCTTCTCTATATTTTTGTGTCTGTGGGAGAGGAAAACTTTAATATGATCATCTCAACCTGGCTAACCTGCTATGCAAAGAATAAGAAATATTTTGAGGCATTAACTGTGCAGAACTATTCTAGTACAGTTTAAGGGTAAAAATAGGGCGTTAGAAAGGGGCGTAATGGGTCCACATTCAATGGCTTGACTGTTTGCCCCTTTAGTGTTTACATTTGTTTACTATGTTTCTGATTCATGAGGACATCACATAATCATGTGCATTGCCTTTGTTGCAAACATTTAAACTTATGGTACTCAGTCTGCTTACAGACATGAAATACAGCTTCAAATACTGACCTAATAAATGTATTGGCTGAAGTTCAAGGGTTACCAGAGGGACTGTAGTTCAGCCAAAGTGTGGCATTAGTGCAGGCACAAAATGAATTCAAAGGTAGTTGAGACAGTTCAGTGTGGAAGTGGTAGTCACACAGATGCACATCACAGGAGAACAGTCATAGAGCATATACAGTGCTCTGTATAGTGCTCTGACTTTCCTCTTTTCTTTACTTATTTTTTAGGACTTCCTGATCATGTTCATCCATCACCTCGCTACAGTCAGCCTGATCAGCTTTTCTTACGTCAACAACATGGCACGAGTGGGGAGCCTCGTACTGTGCGTCCACGACGCCTCTGACTTCCTGCTAGAGGTCAGTTACACACGCTGGTGTCAGTAAGCATTGTTTTCCTTTGCTGTTTTGCATCCTGTACGTGTTAATTCCCTGGAAGCTCTTCAAATCGCCACCTGCTGCTGGTTTTTTATTTCACTGTCCTGGCAGAATTTTTAAGTTTTATTGTCATATGCACAGTAAAATATATTTTCCTGTACAAAGAAATAATTCCTTTGCTGTCCACAGCAGATGCCAAACAGAAAAAATGCACATATAAAATAGATGAATAGAATAATTTTTTTTACAGCAATATAAATAATTACAAGGAACTACACTAAGCGGACTTAAAAAAAAGAATAAAAATAAAGATATGCAAAATATATACCAAAATACTCTGAGCTGAAATGACTGTGTACATATTTATGTAATTTATAATGCAAACTGCAATATTTTAGATGAGCTGCGAGCTCCTGTCAATTGAAAGCACATTTGACACGCAGCAGGAAGTACGATGAAATGGTCGGGACACGTAGAAACTTATTATGGTAAAGGGAGTAAGATACAACTGCCATTGGTAATTGAGCAGCCTTGGTTTTCCCCCAAAGGATATTTATTGTTTACCAGACTTTCTGCTTATCGCCAGTTGGGTCTCTAAACAATGGAGATGAACTGGAACCAACTTCTGTTTTTGGTAACTTCTTCTTATCTGATGTGTGCTGTGATACAGAACAAAACGTATTATAATGCTTTATTTCTGCTCTTTGCTTTTGTGTGTTTGTTTCAACAGGCGGCCAAAATGACAAACTATGCCAAGTGTCAGCGCTTGTGTGACTTCCTCTTCATCGTCTTTAGCGTGGCATTCTTTATCACACGACTTGTTATATATCCAATATGGTAAGTACACCAGCAGTGTCAGAATGAATAGCCATAGATGGTTATAGATTTTAGCTTTTTTTCTTTTCGTCTACCTGTTGTGCATTGGGAAGGTTATGTTAAACAGCTCTTAAATTTAAAAAACAAAAACAAAGAAGAAGAAGAGCATAATCTGTTGTCACCTGATTGGCTGTGACATATCTAACAGCTGTCACTCACACTGGTCAGAAACACGCAGCCTGCACTTAATCTGCAGTGCTTAAATGTATTGCTGCTGACCTAAGAATAAAGAAAAAAATGCCATGTGCTCCCGTTTAAATAAAATTATAATCTGAAACAGGTAGCAGCACTGTTCTAGATCAGATGAATCCTTTTTCAGGACGTCTTAAAGATTCACTGGCTTTACCTCTGGCCCAGAACACTGAGATCAGTGCTGGTGTTTACATTTAGGGACATGTTTGGATGCCTGCTATTCCTCGGCGGAGACCTGGATGTTGCAGCTCAACTTCCAGAAAGAGAGACAGTCCTACAGACAATAGGGAACCTATCACTGGCAAAAGTAACCTGAGCAGCTATATTCAGTGTCTTGGTGTGGATGAGTGATAAAGCTAGTGTTGCCGCTGCAGCTACCTGGACTGAAATCCATACCTGTGCTGGGGAGGTGGGTCTGTTGACAACCTGTTGTCACTCAAGTGGATGTAAAGGAAGACATGACCTCACAGACCACTCAAGTGACATTACCGTAGATCTGTGTTACTCGCTTGCATGGCTGCCTTTGGCTTGCAGGTCGGGATTCCACTCTGTATGTTAAAGAAAGACTCGTTTAAAGAGTGCTGCTTAAGCTCATTTCTGGGACTATAACATAGCCAGTCTTCACACATACGCCTGTTTATCTCCTCCTTCAAACAGGATCCTGAACTCTACTATGTTTGAGAGCTGGGCCATAGTCGGGCCGTATCCGTCCTGGTGGCTCTTCAACGTTTTACTTCTGGTCCTCCAAGTGCTGCATATCATCTGGTCCTACCTCATAGCCCGTATAGCCATCAAAGCCATCCTGCGAGGCAAGGTGGGTCACAAGGAGAGTTCAGCTGTCAGGAACTATTTGTTTTGACTAAAGAAAATCTCCAATTCAAGCTATTATAATGACAAGATTCCCTCATTCACATTCATGGACACTTTATTGTGTACAATTGGTTAGTACCACCCTTTGCCTTCAGAACTGTCTTAATTGTTCATGGCACAGATTCAACAAGGTGCTGAAAACATTTCTCAGAGATTTTGGTTCATGATAGCATGTCAATATTCCACAATGTTCCACCCCATCCAAAAGGTGCTCTACTGAACTGAGATCCTGGCGACTGTGAAGGTTGTTTGAGTGCAGTGAAATCAATTTTATATTCAAGAAAATGATTTCAGATCACTTGGGTTTTGGGATGCGGTGCGCTGTCCTGCTGGATCACATGATGCTACACTGTAGTGATAAAGAGATGGACACGGTGAGCAACAATACTCAGGTGGTCTGTTGCTTTAAATGCTCAGTTAGTAATAAGTTCAAAGTGTCATTACACAAGCACCATTGTACCACCAGCAGCAGCTTGAACCACTGATACAGAGCGGGATGGAATAATGCTTTGGTGGTGTGTTCAGGGATGCTCTTCTGGATACATTGGTTCTAACTAGTGGTTATGTGAGTTTTTGTACTCTGTCCATTCTCTTATGTCCTCTGACATCAACAGTGAAGTTTTGCCCACTCACTGGATATTTTGTCTTTCTTAATATTCACTGCAAACCCTATAGATTGTTATGTGGGTAAATCCAAGTAGGTCGTCAGTTACTGTAACAACAATGGCACGTTCAAAGTCATTTAAATCATCTTTTTTTTTTTTTTAATTCTAATGCTCAGTTTGAGCTTCATCAGGTTGACTTGACCATGTGTACATGCTGCCATATGATTGGCCGATTAGGTGTATGCCTTAAGACACAGTTAATGTATGTTTTTATATTGCTCATGACTTGTGAATGTGTACTTTGCACTATTCCCTGACGTTTTCATTTAATTAAAAGCAGGCCAGTCGATAATGAAAATCATCAAATTGGGCTTTGTATGCAACACGTCAAACCCTTCCTGCACAAGAGGAACACAAAGTGTATTTGTCACCTGGTAGAATGATTTTTGTAATGTGGTATGAACACCTGCTAGTTTCACTTCACTACAATTGACACACCCTTGGCTGGAAGTTTATATTTTTATTACATTTGTGTTTGGTATGTTAGCACACCAAACAGAATGTTTGTCCAAGATGACACCACGGCTATTTTTGGTAACGCCTTTGCTGCCTCTTGTCTTTTCCCCCTTCATCCCTGACTGTGTCCCATTCTCTCTGCAGACGCAGTTTGCTTCCCCTCCCTCTGGAATGAGAGAGGGAGATCCTGTCTTTCTGTCTATCTTTGTCCAATGAGCCCTCCTCCGCTGCTCTCTTGCTTCTCTGCGTCTGCTCTGTCTGTTGACAACTTCTCTGTGTTTGGCTGTAAGTTGCTGTTCACTCCCTCTGCCGTGATTTCTTTCACAAATCCTCCGTCCTATTCGTTTGCATAAAGACTCACAGTAGCTGCAGTAGATTTCGATTAGACAGTCGTTGTACTGAATTTGAAGCCAGCAGTAAGAGGAGAGTAAATGATAAGTAATGTGGTAAGAGTGTTATGAATGTCAGGTATGTCCCACTGTTTCTCATTAGTGAGGACGGTGTCGAAATTGTCCCACAGCACCACCTTGTGGCAAATGTTGTGAGTATAATCCAGTTGTTACACTAACTGCAGTTTCCATTAATATGAAGCATCTTCTCGTAACGCTTTAATTTGTTGTTTATTACTCGCTGTGAGTCAAACTAAAGCGTGAGGCCACGTTCCAAGACCCTGTCCCTACGCCCGCTCACACCATTTACACATTTATGTGAAAAGTTCCTTTAATTATTTCTTCTTTCAAACAAACTAAGTGGAAGTGGGTAGTAAAGCCCTCCACCACCGTGTCTGCATTGATGCAAGTTCACTAACCTCATTTGTCAAAGGTGCAGCATCTGTTTTGCGTCCGATACGGAGGAAACATCAGAGTAATAAACAAGATGACCTTTTGTGGAAGTGTTGTGCATGTGTTGGCCAACAAGACTTTGGACGTGTTTCTGAAAAAGTGCTTTGAAATACATGTATGTTGTTTATTTTTTTTCTGTAAATGTTAATAAAAAGGAAGAGCTTTTTAGAAATATTGTAAATATATGAATGTAAGTGAAATAGAAGAGGCACTTAGTAGTAATATAAATCATCTGAGATGCTGATTAGAAGTTCCTGTTTCCATCAGAAATGGGTGAAGACATCTCAAAGTTTTCCGCTGCGTTTATGTCCTACATGGTGTGAAAATGGCTTGCTGGTGATGTTTTAATATCAAACAAAGATAACCCAGACAAACACAAAATGCACTTTTACGATTGATCATTTCATTCAAAAAATAGCTTTCATCTAAACCTACCTGACCCCAAGTGAAAAAGAAATAAAAATGACAAAGACAAGAAAGCCAAAATTCATCCACAGCAATGTGAAACTCATTACCAGTTATCACAAATGCTTGATTGGTTTTTCCACTCTTCTGAGGAAGAGCTACATTTATTAGGTTTACGGTGTAATTACTTTTTCACATATCGCCATGATGGCTTGGTTAGCATTATAATTTAAAAACTGCAGTGTCCTTGTTAATAAGATGCTAAAACCATCACCTTCACAAATTACACAGAATGGCCTCCTTTCAGTCTGCTGTGGTGTTTGTAATTAATTTTTTAACATTAACGTCATACTCTGCGTCTCCTAGGTGGGCAATGATGTTCGCAGCGACATAGAGAGCAGCTCTGAAGATGAGTCAGCCTCGCCAACACAAGGCTTCAAGACCTCCCCTCATCCCTGTAAGGGAGAAAACGGCACTAATGGCCACTGTGCTTCTGCCAAAGCCCGAGCTCAGAACCACAACAGCTGGTGACGCGGAGCCTGAAGCCCCCTGCCGTTCATCCCCTCGCAGTGTCTTAGAGAGCTTTGTTTGTCTTCTGACATTCCTCTGACGCGCAAAGCTCACTCCCACATTCTCTCACACACACACACACACACACACACACACACTACACTGACAGTGAGCGCACACAAATTCATGTGTTGGTGAACTGATGATTGATAGACACTGGGTCGTGTGATGAGGCGACACGTAAAAGCTGCAATGAAGTCTGTTGAAGCGAGTGATTTGCATAGCCTTATTTTTTACAAATGTTGGGATTTATCGTGTGCTTGAAGATGTTCTTTGGATTCAAAGTTCTCTCCCAGTTTTATTGGTCAGATGAACTTGTTTGGTTATTTCTAAGGGTTAATTCACAACAGACGGCACAGGTGTGTCACAGCAGACGTAGCAACATTATGTAATATTACAGCTGTGGTTTTATCAGCTTTTAAAAGCACGACACCGGCTGTGAGAGACAGTGTGCCTGAACATATCTGCCCTTTGCAGTTCATTGTGAAACGACCCTTCACCACAATGTTGTGAGAGATTTGTTTTATTGTTTTCTTTTTTTTTTTTTTTTACTTCCGAGACCAAAATGTTGATGAAATTGTTGGATATCACTGCCTGTAAAGAATTCCAGATATAAGGATAATAATAAAAGTCTGCATCATGTTCCTACTTGAGTACCTAAAATAATGTCTTTCCAAATATATTCTGTTAAAAGTTTTTCTGCTCGTCTCATCTTATTTGAGTCCTATTTCAATGTATTACACAACACTGTGTAGCTGAATGCATTTAATGTCATATAACACAAACAATTACATCTTATTCCTGAAATAGTGCAGCTCAGAATGAATTTGACGGAAGCCAGTGATGCAAATATGCTCGTGGTTAATTTTCTGGGAGCTTTATAAACAAATCCTCGTCTTTATAAGGGCGCCGTGCCCTTGCTGGAATCACACAAGTGTCCTCTGAAGAATAAACATCACGATTCGCTGCTGGATAAAGACGAGGAGGAATGAGAAATGTCCACATGTGTGCAAAAAGCAGAGCTTTTGTCAGTCTTTGATGACTTCAGCATCCTGGTTCTCTGCTGCCAGCTTCAGCTGCTTCTGCCTCTCCATGTAGCGGTACCCTCGCATTGCACACAGGTAGCCCCCGTACACCGTCAGCAGCATCATCGAGGCAGAAAATGCCCGATAGCCGATGTCTGCGAGCCGCTTTCCTGTTACCATGCTGAAGGAAATCAGGAACAGGAGATTAAAATGGGTTCATAAGCTGGAAAGTAACCAGTGACAACACTGCAAACATCACTGGTTCTTAAATCAAGAACTTGAAGTCAGTTATTAAAGAGAATATTTGTTATCTGTTAATTTGATAAATACTCAACATTATCACCATCATCCACACCTTTTACTATACTTGTGTATTAAATATAATAAGTACTGAACCTGCATGTTCCTGACAAGTAGTAGACTAAAATGGAAATACTCAACTATTGAGAAGTACTTGATACGTCCCACCGTTGGACTGGACGAGCTGGAACTAGATGACTGAGATTTTATCAAAAGCATTTGCTCCTGCTTATCACACAAACAAGCTCAGCTTTACCAATCACACCAGCAAAAAATAATTTACAACCTTAATTACAAAT